ACACACACACACACACACACACACACACACACACACACACACACACAACTCTTACACTCATACATACAATGTACACACACTTGTACACATACACACTCACACACAATACACATGCACACATTCACATGCTTGCACTCACACTCGCACTCATGCACACTCCTACAATACACTCATTCACATACACAAAACACACACTCATATACCGTACACTCACACAATACACACACTCATACTCACACACAATATACTCACATGCATATACACTCACACAATACACATTCACACACAATACATACACACTAACACACAATGCCAATACTCATACATACGCACAAACACACACAATACACTCCCACATATACACACTCACACATATATGCATTCTCACATACACTCAAACACAATACACACATATACACACTCACACAATATACATACATACACTGATATAATACACACACTCTTCCACACACACTCATACACATATACACAACACACTCACATATGCATACATGCATACTCTCACATACATGCTTTCATTAGCAAGACATTGTACACAACATACATGCTTACAGACTCATGCACACATGTATATATATGCAATGCACACATACGCGCACACACATTCACACACAAGGCATTCACGATCTGTACTCACGCAAACACAGACGCTCTCTTGCACCCACACTCACACACATGCTTTCATTTGCACACACAGCATGCACACACACAGTCACACACAAGACATTCACGATCTGTGCTCGCACATGCACAGACACACCCTCTTGCACCCACACTCACACCAGAGGGCAGGCTGAGAACAAGGCAGCACAGCTTGCCTGCATCAGCTGGAACACTGAGTACGTGCCGGGACGGGGACATCCTGGTGCTGACAGGGGGCCCAGCCCGGCTCGGGTACATGCGGCTTGTTTACCTTCGGGGGCTGGGGAGAGGGGCCAGGGCTGAGGGCGGCTGCTGGGGAGGCTACTGCCTCCATCTCTGCCTCTGCCACTCTGGCCATGCCCTGCAGCCCTTTGGGGGACTGTCTATCCTGCCGGTGGGCTGGAGCTGGGAGCAGATGCTCGGCAGCCTTGCAGCTGGGGCCTGTCTGTCTGGGGTAGTGCTGAGTCTTTGGAGGCTCAAGTTTCTGTGTCCGTCCGGGGCTTTTCCGAAGCTGGGCCCCAGATTGAGGCTGACAGGCAGCAGCTCAGATCCCTGCTTCTGTGGCCCAGAGCCATGCCCCTTCACAAACACTGCTCCAGCCCAGCTGGATCACCGGCGACCTTGATCTTGACCTTGGGCTGCCCTCGCCCCCTTCCGTGGACTTGGGGCGCCCCACTCCTCTCCACCTTTCAGAAGCTACCCTTTCCATCTAGCCCCAGGGCTGCTCCCAGAGTGCTTTGCACTTTTCAAAGCGTTCTCCTGTCTTTCTCTTGACTCACAAGATTCCTGATGGGTTGGGAGGGTCAGGAATTATTGTCCCCATTTTATAGGTGAGGTAAACTGAGGTTCAGAATGGCTAAGTGGTTTATCTAAGGTTATAGAGCACAGAGCTGGAAGGCCCTCAGAGGCCACCTGGTCTAACCCCCTCATTTTACAGAGGAGGAAACTGAGACCTAGAAAGGTCATGTGACTTGGGCAAGGTTACACAGCTAGCATCTGAGGCGGGATTAGAACCTAGGTCTTCTGACTCCAAATCCAGGATTTATTCTGCGGTGCCAGGGATCAAAGAGAGTGAATTCACACTTGGTAAGAGCCTAGTATTAGGGAACATTTGGGTCAATTCATTTTACAGAGGAGGAAACTGAGGCCCCAAAAGTCTCTGACTTGCCTGAGGTCATACATACAAGTAGTATGTAGCAGAGTCAAGACTTGAACCCACGTCTGTGGACTCCAAAGTTTGGAGTTTCTTCCGTTTTTAAGTTTCTACATCAGAGCACTTCTTGGACCCCCAACAACAATCTCATCTTTTGAGTTTTCCCTTGTAACAAACAAAGACTGTTATTCAAGAACAACAGAGAAGAGCAGCGTCTGATGGGGTATATAACATTCTGCACCCGTGGCCCCCACCTCCCTGTGAAAGGATCCTTTGTCTAGGGCTGGAGGGGCCCTCAGGCCATCTCATCCACTCCAACCCCAAACCCCAAACCCCATGCAGGTACTTAGGAATGCTCTGGGGTACCAGGTCTCCATAACTCAAAGGCATTTTCTAGCTCTGATACTTTTGTTCACTATGACCACTTTAGAAATTCAGACCCGAGAAGGTGGATTTACTTTCTCGAGGTCCCCTTGGCAGTCCTTACAGATCCCCCACTAGAACCTGGGGCTCCTTATAGGGCCTGCCTGTTCCTCACTGCGGGACAGAGTGTTCCAAGTCCCCGTGATGGGCCTCTTTTCTCTATCCTTCTTCAGCGCCCCCCATCCGGGCCCTTCCAGTTTTCATTCTCTCTACTCAAACAGCTGCCAGGCGACTGTTGTGTGGTTGTGGGCTCGCCCCTTCCTGGCCCCTGGGCTCTGCTGGCTCCGTGTTCGTCCCTGGCCGCGGGAGGGCTTGGTGTGCTCTCCATTAGCCCAGTCTGGGCTCTCTGGCTACACCGCTGGTCACGTCACGATCACAAACTCCCCGAGGGCAGCGGCAGGGTGTGTTGTCCCCGCAGCTTCAGGCAGAATCAGTTTATCTGGATTTCTTAAAACTGATAAATTGGGGTGGAGGGGAGTTGTGAGAGAAAGAAATCTAAAGAGGTGGGGGGAAGGAGAGAGAGAATGAGGGAAGAAAAGAGAGAAGAAGGGAGGGAAAGAAAGAAGAGAGAAAAGGAAGGGGAGGGAGAGAGAGGGAAGAAGGAATGAGAGAGAGGAGGGAGAGAAAAAGAAAGAGAAGGAGGGAAGGGGAGAGGGAAAGAGAGAAGGGAGGGAAAAAGAAAGGAGGGAGGGAGAGGGAAAGAAAAAGGATGAAGGGAAAGAGAGGGAAGAAGAAAAGAAAGAAGGAGGGCGAGAGAGAGAAGAGAGAAGAGGGAAAGAAAAAAAGAGGGAGAGGAAAAGAGGGAGGGGAGAGAAAAAAGAGTAGGGAGAGAAAAAGAAGGAGGGAAAAAGGGAAGAAGAGAGAAAAAAGAGGTAGAGATAGAGAAGGAGAGAGGGAGAGAAAGAGAGAGAGAAGAGAGTAAAAGAAAACTTAAATATAGATTCACCGTAAGATACCCAGAACCTCTGTGATAGAAGGAACTCCCGAGTCTACCTATCCCAACCCAATAGAATGTAAGCTTCTTGCAGGTAGGAACAATCTGATATTTGCCTTTGCGCCCCAGCGTCAGGCACATAGTAGGTGCTTACTAAACATTTGTTGAATGAACAAGAACTCCCCAACAACACGCCCCCAAAGTGCTCCTCTAGGCTTTTATTTGGAGACCTCCAGTAATGGGGAACTCACCACCTCCTGAAGCTGCCCATTCCTTGTTCCGCCAGCCCTCGCTGGGCAGTTTTTTTCTAAATCCATCTCCTACACCTTCCCTCCATCCTAGAACAGAGTAACTGGGCAAAGTTAAGTCCGTCCCTTGGGGCTTTTAAAGAAGAAAAGAATATAATTTATGCACAACTTTGCTGGGCTTTCCCTAATCCCGAATGGCCCAGGCAGCCCTGGCACTGGGTCCCAGCCAGGAGGGTACCTGTGACGGTGAGATGACCCCAGACTGGAAAGTCCTCAGGTTGGTGCCTGAGGACCTGGGTTTGAGTCCCAATTCTGCCATCAATCGTTGGGTGTGGCACTTCCCCCCACCCCCACACCCCAGGGTCTCAGTTTCACTTTCTGTAAAATGGAGGCAGTTGGCTGGGGCCAGTCCGCACAGGGCCTCTCCCCAAGCTTTGGAGTCAGCCCCAGGGCCCAGGTCATGCTCAGCTTTCCTTGACGCATCCATCACTGGTTTTTCCTTTTCTCCCTCCATCCGCCTCATGCCTCCCAGGGAGGAGAAAGATCGTGCGTCCGGGTGTAGGAAAAGAGGCCCGAAGCCCAAACGGCTGCTGCTGCAGGTAACCCCGGGCCCTGCCCGTTCTCACCCGACTCTGGCCGTGGGCACTGGGTGGATGGATGGGGCTCCCCGTGGTCCCCCTCCCAGCCCTGAACCCTGGCCCAGGTCACCGTGGGAGGGGTGGGGAGCCCCAGCGGGCTCCCCAGCAGGCGAAGGTGCTTATCACCTCCAGCAGCATCAAAAAGCCACCAAGGAGTGTATGGGATGGCATTCCACATACAGGAGGAGGCATGAGCAAAGGCCTGGAGGGGAGAGAACACAGCATGCAGTCGGTGGATAGCAGGGAGGGCAGGAGCCTGGAGGATGTGAAGGGGAAATAATGGAAACTAAGATTTGTAGGGGCATCGAATGCCAGGATCAGGAACTCCAAACTTATCCTGTTGGCCATAGGAGCCATTGGGAGTTTCCGGGCAGGGAAGCAGGCATTTGTGGGGATTAGTTTGACAGAAGAAGTTCTGCTCTGAGAAATGGGACATAGGTTTGGCGGCCGAAGAATGGGCCAATATTTGAAAAAAGCCAATCCTGATGGGGTGTTACGTCATAGTTCAAGAGTGGACAAGTCACTTCTCTCTCTAGGCCTCAGTTTCCTCATCTGTAAAATGAAGGGGGTCAGAGGACCTCCAAGATCCCTTCCAGCTCTAAGTCCATGGCATTCTGGACACCCTAAGAAACAAGTGTGAAACAACAAACAGTAGCGTTTGAATGTTTAATTCCTGCATGCTTAGACTGATTCAGGGAGAAAAACGCTTGACTCTTGGAGCCAGGAGACCTGGGTTCAAATCCTACCTCACCCACTAGCCGTGGGCCTCAGTGTTCTCATGTATAAAATGGGCGTGGTGGTCTTTGTCAGGAGGGGGGAAGAATGGAAATGGCAGCTATTGATCTAGCCGGGGTGATCAGCAAGGACCCCTGATTTCCTGTTCGAGGGTATTGGACGTGGAAACCACACTCTACACAGCTCAGGATCATGGGAGGGTTGGAGAACCTTGGACTTGGTTCATACTCTGGGTCTGGCTGTCTCCTGGGCCTCGAATTTATGTATGTGACCTCTTCCCCCTGCTTGGTTATAGGCTTCTTGAAAACAGGAGCGAGGTCCTTTGTCCATCTCTGTTTGCCCAGAGGTGCACATGATAGGGCCTTCAAGAAGCTTGGTTGAATTTCTATGTGGTTTAGTGGTTTAGGTGCTGGGCCAGAGGACCTGGAGTTTGAATCCCCGCTTTGCTGAGCCTCAGTTTTCCCATCTGGTGTCAAGGGCCTCTCAGTCCCTTCCAGATCTGTGGTCCTGTAATATGTGAAGGGGCTTGAGAATCTTAGATTCGCAGAATCTCCATTTGTGTTAGGAAGGCAGACCAGACGCTCCTCTCACCTCCCTGACTAAAGACAGAAGGCTGGAGGGAGGGGGTTCAGCAATGATCCCCTCATTCAGGCCTCTCCTCACACCGGCTGGCCTGTCTTTCCACCCTCCTCGGCTTCTGATGGGCCAAGGTCGAAGCCTGCAGAAACATTCATGGAGGAACCCACGCCAATGCTCACAGCTGGGAGGCACCTGGTCTAAGCCTTACCTGAAGGGAATTCCCTTCTCCAGCTCCTAACCAGTGACCATCTAGCTCACTGCTTGGAGATCCTCAGTAAGGGAGACCCCCACCCTCTCCCAAGGAGGTCCATTCCACTTTGGGACACTCTTTGGTTAGTAATTGTGTCCTGACATCGAGAGGAAATTTCCCTCCCCATAATTTCCACCCGTGGTTTCTGGTTGTGCCCACTGGGGCCAAGTGAAAGGGGCTAATCCCTCTTTCATGATACCTGAAGACAGCATATGTGCCCCTGAGCCATCTCTTCTCCAGCCAAAACACCCTGAGGTCCATTACCCAATCCTTCTATGGCCTGGTCTTCCATCACCTCCCCAACCTGGCCCCCTTCTCTGCATCCATTGTGGCCTGTCTAGGGCCTTGGGTTGACCTAGCCTGCTGTGTACAAAGTCAACTCCCAATTTTTCTACTCAAGGTTTAAAACCTGGCTTGAATGTCCCCTGGGCACGTAGCTGGTGGTTTGTCAGTGGCCACATTTTTAGAGTGGCCAAAGGCACCTCACTTTTCTTTTAGCACTAGAATGGAAGGTATTGGTAGGGACTGTTGGATTTGGGGAGTGCCTGGCACATAGTAGGTCCTCAAGGAAGGCTTGTTGATTAGATATCAGCAAAATGAGGGCATTGGACAAGATGGCCCCAGGTTGGACAAGATGGCCTCTGGTTGGAAGATTCTTAAATCTGTGCTCCTGTGAGCTGGGCTCTGTGCTGGCTACTGGGGAGATCGATGGTCAGTCCCTCCCCTCAGGAAGCTTCAAATCTAGTACAGCAGATAAGCCATGGACACAATGACTGTGTTTGTGACAAAATTGAACATGATAATTATGTAGGAGAAGGGCTGCCAAGGCAAAGAAAAGGTGGAAAGACCCTTACAGGCCATCTAGCCTAACACCCCAGTTTTACAGAAAGGGAAACTGAGGCCCCAAGAGGGTCCAAAGGGAGTAAATAACAGAGGCAGAACTTGAACCCAGATCTCCTGACTTCAAGTCTGTTAGGAGACATTGCAGTATAGGGAAAAGAACTCGAGCTTTGGAGTCAGAAGACCTGGTTCAACTCCTGCATCTGATTCTTACTGCTGGTGGGACCTTAGATAAGTCCCTTTCCCTCCCAGGGACTCGATGGCCTGTAAATTCCTTTAATCTGTGATTCTAAGGAAGGAGAGATTCCTTCCCTCATGAGGGGTGGTTGGGGCAGCCTTAAGGAGGAGCTCAGCCCTAAGGGACAGGCAGGACCTCAGTGGGGGGAGAAAATTGAGGTGGTGGCAGTGGGTCCTGAGGAGAGGCTTAATAGGAGGTCTTGGGTGGTCACAGGAGGTAATTATTTTATTTATCATTAAAAAGAAAGAGAAAGTGGGGGAGAGAGTGAATGAGCTGAGGGGAGAGACAGAGAGTGAGCAAGCTGGGGCGGGGGAGAGAGAGAGAGAAAGAGAGAGAAGAAATGTATAGAAAGACAGGAAGAGAAGGAAAGAGAAGAGAGAGACAGGTAGTGAGAGAGAGAGATGGCAATGGAGGGAGGGAGAGACAGAGTGAGCGAGCTGAGAGGGGGAAAGAGTGAGAGAGAAAGAGAGAGAAGAGAGAACCATAGACAAGAGAAGGAAAGAGAAGAGAGAGATGGAGTGAGAGAGAGAGAGTGAGAGATGGCGGTGGAGGGAGGGACAGAGGAACAGAGAGACAGAGAGCTGAGGGGGGAGAGAGAGACAGAGACAGAGAGCTCACACAGGCTCACCAAATGTAATTGGGAAGGGAGTAGCAGAAGATAAGACTAGAGATGGAGGACTCAAAAGAGCTTTAAATGCCAGAATCAGAAGCTTAAATTTTAACCCTATAGGCAATAGGGAGCCAGGGAAGATTTTTTTTTTAGTAGAGGACTAACTCAGTTCTATAGCAAGTGAAAATAATCTGTTAATAATCAATATAGACATTGCAAAGCTTTTTATGCACATAAACTTATTAGAACCCTGTATCAACTCAGTGAGATAGAGCATCCTTTGCAGATGTGGTTATCTGCCTTTTACTTGGGAAAACTGAGACTTAGTAAGATTAAGTGACTTGCCCAGGGTCACACAGCTAGAAATTCTCATGGGTGGGATTAGAATCCTGGTCTCTCCTGACTTAAAGTCAAACCTGAAAACAGCAATGCTTGAGGCCCCAAAATGGCTTCTCTTCTTCCCCCATGTCTGACTTGTATAAAATCCAAGTCAGGCAGCAGAAAACCAAGATGATTTTTCACTGTAGAGTTGGGCTTTTACCTTGTTTTCTTTTCAAAGCATTTTCATTTGGCGGCTGAGATGTCTCTCTAAGTCATTTTAGTCAATGCATTTCCAGTCATTTGTTAAAGAATTTTGGGAAGTTTAGTTGGAGGAAGAGGAGACTTTGGGGGGGGGCGTCCATGATGACTATCTTCAAGTATCTGAAGGGGTTTCTTAGAGAGAGGCAATATGGCATAGTAGGAAGAGAATTAGAGTGTAAGGACCTGGGTTCAAGTCCCAGCTCTACTCCTTACCACCTGTGTCACCTTTGGCAAATCACTTCACTTCTCTGAGACTCAGTTCCCTCAGCTGTAAAATGGAAAGGAAAGGGTGCCTAGGTGACCTCTTGGGTCCTTGCCATCTCTTAAGTCTAGGTTCCTACCTAACAGCAGCAGGTGTAAATTACGCAGGTTGTTCAAGAAAAATAAAACACAGGACACACCTTTTCAAATTTTGGTATAATCCAAAGTAAAAAGGAAGGAAGGAAAGAAGGAAAGAAGGAAAAGAGGGAGGGAGGAAAGATAAAGAAAAAAGGAGGGATGGAGGAAAGAAGGAGAGGGAAGGAGAAAGGAAGGAAAAGAGGGAGGGAGGAAAGAGGAAAAAAGAAAGGGACAGGGGAAAGAAGGAGGAAGGAAGAAGAGGGAGGGAGAAGGGAAGGAAGGAGGGGAAGGGAAGAAGGAAGAAAAAGAGGGAGGGAGGAAAGAGGAAGAAAAAAAGGGAGAGAGGAACAAAGGAAGGAAGGAAAGGGAGGGAGAAAGGAAGGAGGGGGAAGGAAAGAAAGAAGGAGGAAGGAAGGAGAGGGAGGGAGAAGGGAAGGAAGGAGGGGAAAGAAAGGAAGAAGGAAGGAAAAGAGAGGCAGGAAAGAGGAAAAAAGGAGAGAGAGGAAAGAAGGAGCAGGAAGAAGGAAAAGAGGGGAGGGAGGAAAGAGGAAGAAAGAAAGGGACAGGGGAAAGAAGAAGTAAGGAAGGAGAGGGAGAGAGGAAGGAAGGAGGGAGGAAGGAAGGAAAAGAGGGAGGGAAGAAAGAAAGAGAAAGGGAGGTGAAAGAAGGAGGAAGGAAAGAGAGGGAGGGAGAGAGGAAGGAAGGAGAGAGGAAGAAAAGACAAGGAGGAAGGAAGGAAAAGAGGGAGGGAAGAAAGAGGAAGAAAAAAGGAGGGAGAGAGGAAGGAAGTAGAGGGAGGGAGATAGGAAGGAAGGACGGGAAGGAGTAGGAAGAAAAGAAAGAAGGAGGAAGGAAAGCAGGATGAAGGAGGGAGGGGTGGGAATGGAAAGAAGGAGGTAAGGAGGCCTGCTTGGCCTGTGAGGTACCATCCCGGCTCCTGAATCCATGCCTAGGCTTCTTCTGCTTGGCCCAGCAGGTGGATGTGATGGGAGTGGTAGAAGGAAACAGATTCAGGCAAACATCAGAAAGACTTCCCAACAGTGACAGCACCACACAAGTGAGATTGGCAGCCTTGGCACAGGGAGTGAGCTCTCCCTCCCTAGGAGGCTTCCCGTAGAAGCTCGGTGACCACTGAGGATCCCAGAATGCTGATTCTTTTCAGTCAGGCTGTCCATAAACAAACCCCTCCCACGTACCAGGCTCTGTGTGAAGTGCTTGGGATGAGAGCCAAGACATGAGGTGGTTCCTGCCTTCGGGAAACTTACCTTCTGTGGAGGGAGACAAGGTGGATGCATATACAAGATAAATAAATAGCAGCTAGTCTGGGGAGCACGCAGGAGGGCCCAGTACTGTGCCTGATCTGAGAGAGGAAACAGAAATAGTCATTTATGGTCCCTGTCTTCTAGGGACTCCTGGTCTCAGGAGTGTTGCTGGGGACCGGCTAGGAAGGCATTTTTCATTCACCAGGCCAGACAATAATTATGTACTTACTGTATACAGTAGATATTGTAGGATATAGAAAATTTAGCTGAGACCCAGGCTTCGCCTACATGGGACCTACAGTCTGGTGGGAAGTATCTTAGGATCTGGATTGGGAAAATCATCTGCAACCCCTTCATATTACAGATGAGGAAACTGAGGCCCAGAGAGATTATGCCACTGTCTTGAGGTCATATACTTTGGAAATAGCAGAACCGGGATTCAAACCCGAGTCACGGACCCTCAATTTGGAGCTGGAAGGAATCCTGCACCTTCTCCAACATCCTCACTTCACCCATGAGACTAGAATCCTGAGCAGTGAAGGGACTTGGCCACAGTCACATAGATAGTGGCAGAGCTGAGATTCAAAACCAGGTCCTCCAACTCCAGATTGACCCATTCCAAACCAATATGCGTTTATTAAATGCCTGCTGTGTGCCAGGCACCAGAATACAAAGACAAAAAACCAGACAGTGCGGGGGTAGGAAATGCCCTTTGCACTCTGCCCCCTCTCTGTCAGCCTGGGCTTTAGGGCGATGTAGAACCCGGGCATGCCAGGCCAGCCTGATGGGGAGGGGGAAGGTAGTCGTGGAGCCCGGGGAGCCTCAGGGAGCCAGAGGGTCCCAGGTGGCGAGCTCGCCCAGGTAAGGAGGCAGGGGAGAGTTTGGAGAGAGAGCGGCCGCCCTCGGCTGGGGCCGTCCGTGCCAGCTCCTTGACCCCCTTCCCTCTTCTCCCCTGCTTCCCATGCCGGTCCCCCACCCCGACCTGCAGAGGCTGTACGGCATGGATTTGCGCAGCGCCCACCAGGTGAAGGGGAAGGAGAAACTCTGCTTCTCCCTGGCCCGCCAGTTTGGCGGCAGCGGCGCCCCTGACGGGGTGGGTAGGGCGGGCCCAGCACAGCTGGAGGAGAAGAGCAGCAGTGGCGTACCCACCCTGCCCTTCCCGCTCAGGAAGCAGAACAAGACCCAGAAGTACCTGCGGCTGTCCCGAAAGAAGTTCCCGCCCCGCCTGGAGGGCCGTGGCCGGCTTAGAGAGACCTTTCTGGAGGAGCCCGCTGCCCGAGAGGCCACGCAGGACACCAGCGAGTGGGACGAGGCCACGGCCACCCCCCCCCCTGCTGAGCAGCACCCTGGCAAAGAGGGTAAGCCGTACCCCCGTTACACCTCTGGGGAGACTGAGGCCCAGGGCAGTGAAGCGACCCGTCCAAAGTTACATAGCAGCTACCAAGTGTCTGAGTTGGGATTTGAACCCAGGTTTTCCTGCACTCTGTTCACTGCTCTCGAGCCAGAAGAGACATTAGGGGTCCTCTAGCCCAACCCCCTCATTTTATAGGTGAGGAAACTGAGGCCCAGAGAGAAGGGAAGGCTCACGGAGGCAGGAAGTGGCTGGCAGAGCCTGGATTCAGCCTTGGGTCTTTTCCATCACAAATCCAGCCATCTCTGCCCCCCTGCACCACCCTGCCCAGTCATGTGGACGTTAGACTGTGGGGCTAATGGGAAAGTGACAAGTGAAGATGGCAGCCTTCCTCTCAGACGTAGTCAGAGGAGCAGGGGCAGGCTTGGCTGGGCAGTGCCCGGAGAAGGGCAGCCTTTCTCCACGTATCCGTGGATGGTTGGAGGAGCCAGGGGTGGTCAGCTTGCCTCGGGGGCCGTGGTAGCCACCGTGATATCCTGATAAGGCGCCCAGGGCTGTCCTTTGGAAGGGGGCTTAGCCTTGTAGATACAGGAGGAAGTCATCACGAGGCAAATTGAGGTCGTGTTTGAGGAAACGCTTTCTATTGATCAGAGATGTCCAGAAGTGGAATGGACTGCTACCTTAGGAAGTAGTGAGTTCTCCGTCATAGGAGGTCTTCCAGCAGAGGCCAGATAACTCCTCGTGCCATATGTTTTAGAAGGAGTTCTTGCTCAGGTACAGGTCGGCCTCTCAGGTCCCTTCTGACACTGACTTTGCTTTATGTCAATGTTAGTGCCATTATCAGTGAGAGGCCCATGGGATAGTGGATAGAGAGCCAACCTCAGAGTCAGGAAGGCCTGGCTTCAGGCCCTGCCTCTGACCCTGGGCAAGTCACTTAACGCCTCAGTGATCCCAGGCAGCTCTCTAAGACTATAGTGGGAGAGCAGATGCAGATCTGCATTGATGAAGGGAATTCCCCCGCCAGAAGTTCTTGGATGAAATCCTGGGTCCCCCCCCACCAAATTGTTATTAATGGCAATCAGGGTTCAGAGTTTTCCAGATGTGCAGCTAGGATGGTGGCCGTGAAGTCAGCTCTCTTTCCCTGCCAGTATCCTGGTGGGCCTCCATCACCTTCAATCCCGTCTTTGTCACTGGACTCTTCCCTAGCCGTCTTACCCTTTTGTCCCCTCCCCCAAACGCTCCCCTTTTTCAGAGAAGGAAACTGAGGCCCAGAGAATAGAAGGGAATTGCTCCCAGTCTCCCAGCTCCAGCTGCACCCCAAAGTTCCAGCCTCACGCCCTATCCCTTATCATCGTCAGACCAATGTGCAGAGATTTGTAATATAGCTTCATAAATGGGTCCAAGTCGCATCTGTTGCCCCAACAAGCAAGCGAGATACCCCCACAGAGCGTCCTCATTTATAAAATGAGGTGAGGAGGGGGGTGCCGGGGCTCTACACCTGCTCCCTTCTTTTCCTGCCATGCCATTGATCCAATGAAGTTCTCCCCCATCTGTCTCTGTCTCTCCTCCATGGCGGTGGTAGGTGGTGACCTGACTGCAGGGGGCCCTCCCTGGATCCCCACGCACCCACCTTCCGAAGTGACGGTGACTGATATCACAGCCAACTCCATCACCGTCACCTTTCGGGAAGCACAGGCCGCTGAAGGCTTCTTCCGGGACCGGAGCGGGCAGTTCTGAACCTCTCCATTCTGACCCCTCTTTAAGTGGTTGTCTGGGAGTTTGGGGCTCAGGCCAGAGGAGGTGTGGGAGGCGGGCAATGCAGTTATTTTATTTTAAAAGACAAACTCCTAACAAACCCAAGAGAGAAAAAGAGAGCTGAACAGAGATGCTCTCTGCTCTCTGCTCTCCAGTTCACCCTCGATCCTGTACAATGATGTTTACAGAAGTCTGCTGGGGGTGGGGGGCGGGGAGGAATGGGGTGATCTTGGGGGACTCTTGTCTATTTCTCAGATGGTCACTGGCATTGACCTTGCCTGAGCTGAATGGCTCAGGTCGGGGAAGCCCAGGCAGGGAAGAGGGAGGAGGGAAAAGGCAGAGGACCAGGTGGTGTCAAAGGGCCTTCCCCATCCTGGGGCTCCAGGACGGAGGTGGCTTGGCCAGAGTTGATTGCAGTTTATCCATGCTCTGAGCTAGGCCTTTCCCAGAGGCCCTTGGGCCAATTTCTGGCGCCTGTGCAGGAGTGGGCGGCAAGGGGATCTGCTGCCCGGGAGGGAAAAGGAGAGTTTCCCGTTCATCGGTGTAGTAGATGAGAGACTCCCCCCAGAATATAAAAACCTCCCTCCCTCCCTGGCCACATGCAAACAACTCAGTGTGAATGGGGCGTTTATTTACTTCCACTCCAGAAAGCAAGGATTTCAGTGTTTATGCTGTAAGGAAGGGGCTTTTGTTTAAAAAATAATCCAGTTCTGTGATCCACATCCATGGGGGGAGCCCCTAATACTCCCTCCTCTGGATCATATCAACACCTCCTCGGAAAGCGAGAAACATTTAGTCTTGGAAAGCCGCCAGGGCGCTGATACCTGTCCAGCTAGCGTGTCTGAGGCTGGACCTGCACCCGTGTCTTCCTTCCTCCAAGGCCAGATCTCCAGCCATGCTGCCTTTTGGGGTCACATTCTGCCCTCTCCCAGCACACACACGCACACACACACACACACACACACACACACACACATGATTCTTCACTATCACAACGTCTCTCATTCCTCAAGCACACGAAGGTTTCCAAAGCACTTTTCCTCATGGTAGGCAGGGAGTGTATTATATATTTCCCCATTTTACAGATGGAGACACTGAGATTCCCAAAAAGGACATAAAGTGATTGAACTGTTGGAGGCAGGGCTTTGAGTCTGGGTCTGGCTCTGGAGTCAGAGGATCTCACTTCCAGTGTTTACTGCATGTGTGGCCTGGGACACGTTAGGTAGCCTTCTTGGGCTTTCATTTCTTCCTCTGTGACTTGAAGGCTCGATGGGGCCTCAGCAGGGTTCCTCTGGGGCCCTGGAGCCCTGCTTCCCAGTTGTTTTGAATTTTCCATGTCAGAGTTGTTGGAGAGCACATGGAAGTGGGCAGTAACACAGCCTCCTTTCATGGGGTTGGCAGGGAGGGCAGAGATAACCAAGGTGGAGAGAAGGTTGGGGGGGGCAGGGGAAGGCGGGTTGGAGGAAGAGCTAGTAGGGCCCACTAGTGAAAGCCGGGGAGATGCAAGCTCCTACAATCCCAAGTCTCTCGGTCAGATCTTTCTCGGGGCCTCAAGGTTGGGGAGGATCCAAGAGCCCCCCCTCCGAGGGCCTCCAAGCACCCCAAAGCCTGCCAGCCCGCCCCCCTCCCCAGCCCTGTAAGCACACACCTGTGTACACGCCACACCCTGCAGAGCCGCTGGGCGTGAAGCCAGGATCCTCTGGGCTGGAAGGCAGAGCCTGCCTGGCCTGCTTGTCCCCCTGGGGCCTCCAGGTGAATAATTCATTCTCCCTTTGGGCCCATATTCTAGGAGAGGGAGGGAAGAGTGGGGGGAAATCCCTTTAAATCCTGAGCTCAAGGTACCAGCAATTGTCCTGTCTGCCTGGCATTTGCAGGGCTAGAAAAAGGCTTTCCCAGCATCAGGAAAGCAGAAGTGGGCCCATTTTACCGATTAAGAAACCAAGACCCCAAGATGGGGTGGATTTTCCCAGGATCCTGATGCCAGTAAGAGTCAGGGCCACCTTCTATAGGAGAGAGTTGGAGGTTGCTTTTGGGGGTCATGGGGGAGGCAGATACCTCCCCCCCATATATTCAGGTGGGCCTCCCTTTAAGGAAACCTATCATTGCCAACTTAGTGTGAAAGGATGAAAAGACATGGGCCTCAGTTTCCTCATCTCTAAAATGGAGGAGGTGGGCTAGGCCTCTTAGGGCCCTTCTAACTAAATCTGTGACCTCACAGCTCAGGTGCCGTTCCCTGCATGTGAGTCCTCCTCCCCCCATCTCTCCCCTCCCCCATCCCTGTTCAGAGAAACTTGAGACCTTGAGAAGATGACTGACTGGCCCAAGGTCTCATGGCTAATTTTAGGTCTAGACCCCGCACCCTAAGACAGCAGCAAAAGGTTTGATTTACTTACACACATGTACAAAGGATCTACATACAGCATCCATTCTCAGTTGTGGGGTAATAGAACACTGAGTTTAGAGGGAGCAATCCTGGGTTTGAATCTTACCTTTGCCTCTTATGACCTCTGTGACCTTGAGTAAATCTCTTGCCCTCCTCTGGACCTCAGTTTTTCCCATCTGTAAAATGAGGCTGTTGGAATAGGTGATTCCCAGGGTCCTGTTCAGTGCTCAGTCCAAGCCCCCTAGAAGCCACCCACTTATCATCAGAGAGAGTCAGCCCACAGACTCCTGCATGAAGCTCGTGCCTGGATAGGGATAAGATTCAGAAGGCCCTCTTCCGGGGGCCTGAGCCTGAGAGTTTGGTCTCAGGCAGCATGTGGGGGCCAGTCTTGTGTATCCAACCCCACCCCTTTGACCATGGAGGAAGAAGTCTTTCCAAGTCACAATTCCTTTTCTGTATCTCTGACTCAGGTGACTTACAATCCTTCTGAGCCCCCTTTTTGTGGACTCTTCCCTAAACTTTGTTCCCATCTCTAATACGAGGATAATGTTAGAGCCAGCAGAGAAAGTAGTTCTATGGCAAAGTGAGTGGTAGCCTGACTAGATTGAGAAGTAGTGAGTTTCCTATCCTTGGAGGTCTCCAAGTAAGGGCTACATGTATGTTGTGAAAAGGCCTTGCAGCTGAGATTCCAGGGTGTGGGATGCCTGGAATTCTCTGGTCCAGGCTGGGGCATTTAGCACGGAAGCTGTGATTTGTCCAGGCACTGGACGAAAAGCCAAGCTGAGATGAGAGAATCCTCGCCCTTGTGGAGGGTACAGTTTGATGGGGAAAGGGGAGGGGGATCCTTCCCCCTCTGGCCCTGCTTCCTTCCCTCCTGACTCTCCAAACCAAAGATCTTTTCAGAAAAGCATCCAGTTCATTCTCCACACCCCTAGTGCCCACAAACGCTCCCCTTTCTCCTTTTGGAGGGGATCAGGGAGGCCTCCAGCTGCTGCTTCTGGGGACCCAGCCGCTTTCCTTCCAATTACAGGGCATTTTATCCAAAGCCTTTGCCTTCAACCTTAACAGGAACAGTCCATGTGCTTCCTATAATTGCCCCCTCTACCTTGGAGGGTGAGTTGAGCGGAAGGGGGCTGACTGGAGACCTTAAGAAGATGAGTGACTTACCCAAGGTCTCATGACTCATTTTAGGCCTGGCCCCCCATCCCGAGATAATAATAAAGGATTTGGTTTGCACACACACACACACACACACACACATATTCAGACACACATATTCTCATTCTCTCTCTCTCCCCCTTTTTCTCTCTCTCTCTCTGTTGTGAGGTAGTAGAAAAAGGGTTTAGAGGGAGCAATCCCGAGTTCGAATCCTAGCTCTGCCTCTTATGACCTCTGTGACCTTGAACAAGTCCCTTGCCCACCTCTGGACCTCAGTTTTTCTCATCTGTAAAATGAGAAGGTTGGATATCCTGACTTTCCATCAGCTCCAGGGCAGATTTTGGGGAAGGGCCACTCCAGATCCCCTCCGCACCCCCTTTCCAGCCAGCCAGTTCTCCCCCTTCTTCTCTTCCCTTTGGCAGAAGGTTGTTCCTCTTCTTCTGTCAGCCAGGATGACCTGTTCTCAGCTCATTTCAGCCACAGCAGGGTATGAGCTTGGGGTCATGGGAGACCCATACAGGAGTTACAGGGAGAATGCTAGCAGCCTTTCCCTCTGCCATTCAAGACTGCTGATTTTCCTATGTTCATGTAGGGTTACCCACTGCAAGATTTTGCTTTGGGAAGACCCAGAGAGGGGCGTCCTCTCCCTCACCTGGCCCCAGGACAGACCCCTTATGCCCAGCTTGAAGCAGGAGTATGGGAGGGGGTATCCTGCCAACCAGCCTCAGTGATGGAATGGGTAGCACAGATATCCCAAGAAGGGGGGTGGGACACCGAGGATGAATACCTAGGCCAGGCTCCTAATGGGAAAATTGTGGAGGGGGGACAATGGACAAGGCAGTTTGGGAAGTGGTCAGGTATAATCAGGACCTAGAGGGTGGGGACCCGTTCTCACTGAACTGGGATCAGGGATGAGAGCAGGAGGTAGAAACTGACAGCCCTCTCCTAACCCCCTGCTTGCCATGGACCCCTCCCCCCATTTTCTCTTGGGGATTCTTTCCTGGCCTGGCACAGGGTGGACCAGAAGGCCACAGTCTCAGGCCCCAGTGGAAGGCAGGGTTCCAAGTCCAGTAGGGAGGTCCACAGGTAGCTGCCAAATGAATGAGGGGGCCAGAGCCTGGGCATGGACACACACACCCCACACACATCCCACATCACACACACAGAGACACACGTGCACACACCCCCCCCCCCCCCCACTGCTGCGGTGGCCTTCTCTTTGGGCCCCAGAGAGTGTAACTGCCGCAACCTTCTTTCTGCTCAATGGGCCCTTTCAAAGAGATGATTGTAAATTTAAACTATATATTGGGGTGGGGGAGTGACTGCCTCGATGCCTGCAATAAACAAGCTCCAGATTAGCACTTTCAGGTCAAGTCCTCCTGCCCCCCACCCCACAAGGCAGGGAGAGGGTGAGAGTTTGCTCCCCTTCCCACGGGCCGAGGGCTTTGCTCCTTGCTGCTCTGAGGTCTGGCCCTCACTGCTTGAGAGCATCTGCAGCCTAAAGACCCTGCGCGTCTCAGCTGGGCAGGGTGCTGTTGGAAACAACTCGGGGTTTGGAGTCCGAGGACCTGGGTTTGAACCCCAGCTCTGTCACGTATGACACGTGTGATCGTGAGCAAATCACAGACCCTCAGTTTCCTTCTTTGTAAAA